ATCCAAATGAATCCGAATCAAATCTAATCAAACAGGAAATCTGTATTGATACAAAAAACATTAAGGTGGGCCACAGAGACTGGCTACACTCTATAAAATAAAGTTTCCAAATGGGGGTTTTCACAGCAATGGCATTAAAGAACCATTTTTGTTTCCCCAAAGAATGTTTCATGTAACAGTTCTTAAAAGAACCATTTTTGCATGAAGAACTTTTTCTAGTATAACGAACATTTTTATGCAATGGAAAGGCTCCATGGATATTTATGAAACCATAGATACCAATAAATAACCTTTATTTTAAAGAGCCGAATGTACGATGCTAGAGAAAAACAGCAGTAATTTGTTGTCATGTGAACAGGAAGAGTATTTTTAATGAAAGGATGTCTGGTAAGAAATCTTCCTTCCCCCGTCATTGGCATTCACTGTGGACCCTGTGAGTGTGGCTCCATATCACACTCTTCCACTGTTGACGATAAGAGATACTTGAGGCGTGTGTGTGAGTGTTTCCAGGGCTGAGATAGGGATGTGAGTGTGTGAAGAGATGTGAGATCACGTGTGGAGACGATACCGGTGGACAGCCTCATAGTCCCCTCACCCGTTGGGACTAGTTATAATGCTTGCAGATGAACGTCACAGCTTAGGATAGTCACTAGTGAAGGTTTTTGGACTGTGTTTGTTCTTGTGGTGTGAGTAGCCAATTAACATTGTCATAATGTCATTTTCCTGCAGTTTTAGAGTGATTAGTCACATGACATTTATGCCTCAGATGACTGGCTAAAAAAAGCAACTTGCATTGAGATGAATTGGAATGCTAGCAGACACCTTTCTTCAGGTATTACTGGCATCTTTTGTTGTGAAGGAGAAGTGGAAGACAGAGACAGAAGGAGGAAGTAGTCTGACCAGACTGGCTCCTTCTGAGCGTTAATAAGAAGGATAATGAAATTAGAGGTCTATGGAAGGCTTGTAGTGTGGTCACCATGCTGTTCTAACTTCATTAGCAATTATGTAAACATGGGCAAGCACAGTGTTTTCATGCGTGTGCCTACTTTTTTAAAAACTATATTAGTTAAATTTCTGAAAAATGTCTTTAAAATACAGTAAATCATTTTAAAACTTTTACATTTTAGAAGTGTATAAACTAATTAAGTTCCCACAGGGGTTTTCAAACTTTAATATCAAGGACCACCAAATATAATAACTCCCTTGCAAGGGCCCCATTCTTAAAAGGCTGCTACATATTTTCATGTAAAAAGATCCATAAATTTGAGAAAAATATTAAATTTGAGAAAAATATTAAAGTTTGCATATAAATTCATTAGAAACTATATTTTCAAAATCTTATTGATTTTATTGATTCATTCATGCATACATTTTTATTTTTATTATTTTTTTTTTTTTTTTACTTCATGGGTACATACATAAATATTCATGCATACATTTTTTTTTAATTTGACCAAAAATTTCATAATTCGATCTTCCAGTAAAACGACAGACTTCTCTCTAGTGACATATAGTAGATTTCTCCAATCATATAGTTTATGTAAACAGATCTGCCTGCATTCAATTAAAAAAACAATGGACAGAACATTTTTTTATTCATTTCATTTAGAAGTATGTTACAATGAGAAAGAAAAAAGATTTGCCGCTACTTCTGTTACATCACAACCAATGTTCCCTCTAATTTTTTTTTCTTGCTGAGCAAAACGTTTCTTTATTGGGTGGACATCTCGGCCACCTGAGCAAAAAAATTCTTCATACCAGAGCTATACAGTGCACACACAAAAAAAGTGTGTAACTTTTAACTGTAATGTGCTATTTAAATTTGATTTGACCCTTGATGTAACTAAATGATGCACATTTTAGGTTACCTGAGAAAAGTTTTTTTTACAGTGCTGTTACTTACCAAGAAATTCTATTAAAAATTTTTAAAAATCTCACACAGAACAGTTCAATTCTTATATAATATAATATAATATAATATAATATAATATAACAAACATAAT